CCGTGTGGTGTGCCTTTGGTTTTCCCACTGTTGAACAGGAGCTGCTAAGGACAAAAAAACCCTTGCATGCTTTTATGTTATCTCTCTTTATGTCTTTTTTTCCTTTTTTGTCTTCTTTTTTTGTAGAAACATTTGTATTTGCAAAGAGGCTTCTAAGAGCTTAAGCAAGTTAGAAACGTTAGAAGGAAAGCAGAGCATTTTGTGCTCTGAAGGCACACAAATACTTCTGAAAAATTCCCACGTGTAGGACCGTCCTTTTAGTAATAGTAATAACATAGCTGAAACCTCTTGAAGTTGTTTCAACAAGCAGAGTATCCATCGATGCAATCCCTGAATGAATGTGCAGGATGAGAAGATACCAAGCTTAGAGTCACCAGAGCCTGACAACTCTCCTGGAGCAGATTTGCGCGTAACAATTAGCAGTCGAGTAGCACGCTGGCCGTGGTAAGTGCGTCTCGGCTCCTCGTCTGGGCACGCAGGTGTGCAGGTAGCACGCTCACACGCATGTAGTGCCGCTGCTCAACGCTGGTCCTGACGTCCTAGAAGAGCCGTAAGGGCTGCCGTAAACATACTCGGCCTCTACGCTGCTGCACGGGCTCCCAGCTGCTGCCGCTTTTGCAGTTTAGGATGTTAAAACCCAGAGGGAAAATGCATTTTCTCTTCATTATTTTCCAATGACTAACAGAAGCAATTTTAACGTTTCTTGTTTTTCCTGATCCTAAGGAAAAGATTTTTTCAGGAAACAGAACTGTCTGAGAACAGCATCTGAGTTCTTTAAATGAATGTGAAGTAAAACTTTGTATTTGATTTCTTGCAATCCTGCTTTTGTCTTGAGAAGGCGAAGAAAATTGTTGCTGAGCCAAAGGCCGCAGACTAGTAAAACTAGTAGTAAAAGTTTGGAGATTTTTAGAAAAAAAAAAGATAAAGTTGAAATAGAAACTGCTGAGATTTTTAGATTATGTGATCATTAAGGAATATTTCTGGCCTTTTAAAATCTTTGTCCATTCTAACACATGTATGATATTTCAATTGCATCTGAAAGGTGAAAGATGCTGAACGTGGTGGGAACCAATGGGCTCGGTGCCTTGCAGGATCTGGGAGTCTTAATAATGGATTCAGTTTACATGGAAATAGTTAATGTTATGAGATTGCTAGACCTGCAAGTAAATTAAAAAGTTGAAGAGTAGGAATGACTGTTAAATCACGCTCTTGTATTTTCACACTTTCACTCTTTTTATGGAAAAGCATTATACTTTTAAGAGTACAGATATCTGATCACCTTGAGAAGACACCTAGAGAAAAGTTCTTTGCTAATCAGTCTGTGTTAGTGACGTGTAAAGCAGTCTGCAAAGTGCTGGAGAACTACTGACTGTTTTACGTTTTATACAAGCACAATGAGGAAAACGAGTGCTATAGTCCCCGGTTTTGGGGAGAGAAGCTATGGCAGATTCTGAGCTTGACTGTATGAAGTACCTTTTATAGGTAATCTCTACAAGAGATCCCGTGTTGGAAGGTGTTTGTTATTTTGTTGTGAGCAAGGCTGTTAACTGAGAGCCGGTATGGGCTGGATAGCTGGGTAAAAAATGGAGTATCTTCTGATATTCTGTAATTGCTATTTAAAAAGATCACTACGTTGAGTATCAGTGGAACCAACCACTCAAAGGATAGGGCTGGGAAAGTATTTTACTTGTCATGTACACAGGAGTCCAGAAGCTGCTTTTCTTATTACGAAAACGGAAGTTCAACCCAGATGTAAAGAAAGCGGTCTTGTAGAGAGATTTGCAATGAATTAAGGCATTGGCAGATGCCTTCCTCTCGCTCTGGGCTGTCGGATGCTTCTGCAGGTTGCTCACGTACAGCCCTGGCTTTTAGGCCTTCTCCGGCCGGTCGATGCCCCTTCCCTCACCGTGCCTCGAGCACGAAGCCGTCGCGGGTACCGCGCGGCCTGGGCCGACCGCAGCCGAAGCAGCGCCCCTCACGCCGGGCTGGAAGTGCAGAAGTGGAGAGCTTGGGAGAGTCGCTCGTCCCATTTAGAGATGGGACATCTCCCGCTTGGTCGTTCCCATCCGTGTGCGTTTCTTCCCGCGCGCCCAGCTCGGTTGCCAGGAGGGACGCAGAGCCTGCCGCACTGCGATCCCGTTTTCCTCTCCGGCAATGGAAGTGTTTGCAAAAGGCAGCTGCTCGGGGATGCCGAGCCCTGCGAGGAAAGGCGCGGGACGCGTGCGTGGCGCCGCTTGGGCTGTGCCGCCGAGCGGGGAAAGGGGCACAGCTGGGAAATAACTCACCAGAATCAGCAAGGAAGCCAAGGGCACAAAATGTAGTTACCTGCGCTGTAGTTGGACCGGAATATAGGGGTCCAGGCCGATACCTCTGTGAAAGCCTGCAGCTGTCTAAGGACGGCGGAAAGGAGGGAGAACAGAAGAGCGAGAGATGAAAACGGAAGGTGTAAAACTGGTTTGTTATTAGTTAAAGATGTTAATTTAGTTGGAAAAAAAGAAGAAAAGCTTGAAAGAACCAGAGAAGTACAATTTTGCAGTCATCGCTGGAGTGAAACAGCTTAGCAGCAGACAGAATTCAAAAACAGCGACTGTCATCAAGCTGCTTTTTTCTATCTCTTTATTAAAAGTAGCGTTTTTACTTGCTCTGATATGTCATAGAAGTCTTGCCTGGTAACATGCAAGCCAGCTTTAGGAAAAAAGAAACAACGTCAAAGAGTATCGTTCCTTGACACTTTAGCAACCGCGAGGCGTTTGAAAGAGCGTGTCTACGGCTTCCTTGGAGCTGCTGCTGCTTTTCAAGAAGGGCTGAAGGGAAAGCAGAAATAACAAGGGTATTCGTTGCAGCAGCGTCAGCAGAGGTGTAAGGCCTCCGTGCGGGCTGGAAGGCAGAGCCGAAGCATGGCCTAGCTCTAGCTCTTTAAGATTACATATTCTATATACTGCTTTTTTTTTTTTTTTG